TTTTGGAATGTTTTGACTTTTTAATTTCCGCTTGGAATTAAAAATTTCCAAAATGTTTACTATGTTCCCTAATACTCTCCGGGAGTGCAATTGGATGGGTTGAACCATCCAATTTGCCTTTAAACGGCCAATTTACCGATTTACAACATGCACCGATTTCGTTAACTCAAATCTACCACGAACACTCATGACAACATATAATGATCATATATGGTTCCGAACGGCATTATGACCCCGAGATGTATCTCCTAAAATCTCAAGCCTTTTCGACACCTGGCCCTAAAACCTCCAATTTTTCTTAAAAAGCGTGGATATTAGCCTTCAATTTTTGAATTTTTTTTCCCCGGAAATAAATATTGCAGAAATGTTTACCATAGTCCCTAATAGCCTTCGAGAGTCCAATTGGGTGGGTGGAACAATCCAATTTTTCTTTAAACGGCCAATTTACCGGTTTACAACTAGCACCGATTTCATTAATTCAAGCCTACCACGAACATTTATGACAACATATAATGATCATTTATGGTTCCAAACAGAATTATATGACCCCGAGAAGTATCCCCTACAATCTTATTTATTTTCGACACCGGGCCCTGAAACCATCTAAATTTTTTTAAGATAAACATGGATTAGTCTTTAATTTTTGTTTTTTGTTTTTTTTTTTTTTTTTACTTTTATCGCCTGAAAATAAAAATTTCCGAAAATGTTTACCATGGTCCATAATACCCTCCCGAAGTCCAATTGGATAGGTGGAACCATCCAATTTGCATTTAAACGACCAATCTAACGATTTACAATTTGCACCGATTTCATTAATTCAAGTCTACCACGAACATTTATGACAACATATAATGATAATATATGGTTCCAAACGAAATTATATGATCCCGAGATGTATCCTCTTAAATCTTGAGGATTTTCAACAACGGGCCCCAAAACCTCCAAAATTTCTCAAAAAGCGTGGATATTAGCCTTCAATTTTAGAAATTTTTTACTTTTTTCGCCCGGAAATAAAAATTGACGAAATATTTACCATGGTCCCTAATACCCTCCGGGAGTCCCATTAGATGGGTGAAACCATTCAATTTGCCTTTAAACGACAAATTTGCCGATTTACAACTTGCACCAATTTCATTAACTCAAGTCTACCACGAATATTTTTGAGAAAATATAATGATCATATATGGTTCCAAACGGTATTATATGATACCAAGATATATTCCCTAAAATTTCAAGACTTTTCGACACCGAATTTCGAAACCTTCAAAATTTTGCAAAATGCGTGGATATTAGTCTTCAATTTTGGATTTTTTTGACTTTTTTTGCTTGGAAATAAAAATTGCCAAAATATTTACTATGGTCCCTAACACCCTCCAGGAGTCCAATTAGATGGGTAGAACCATCCAATTTGCCTTTAAACGGCCAATTTACCGATTTACAACTTGCACTGATTTCATTAATTCAAGCCTACCACGAACATTTATGACAATATATAATGATCATATATGGTTCCAAACAACATTATATGACCCCAAGATGTATCCCCTAAAATCTTAAGGATTTTCGATACCGGGCCCTGAAACCTCCAAAATTTCTAAACAAGCGTGGATATTAAGCCTTCAATTTTGGAATTTTTTGACTTTTTTCGCCCGGATATAAAAATTTCCGAAATGTTTACCATGGTCCCAAATACCCTCCGAGAGTCCAATTGGTGGGTGGAACCATCCAATTTGCCTTTAAACGACTAATTTACCGGTTTGCAACTTGCACCGATTTCATTAACTCAAGTCTACCAAGAACATTTATGACAACATATAATAATCATATATGGTTCCAAACGGAATTATATGACACCAAGATGTATTCTCTGGAATTCCAAGACTTTTTGACATCGAGTCCTAAAACCTTCAAAATTTCGCAAAATGCGTGGATATTAGTCTTCAATTTTGGAATGTTTTGACTTTTTCCGCTTGAAATTAAAAATTTTCAAAATGTTTACTATGTTCCCTAATACTCTCCGGGAGTGAAATTGGATGGGTTGAACCATCCAATTTGCCTTGAAACGACCAATTTACCGATTTACAACTTGCACCGATTTTGTTAACTCAAGTCTACCACAAACACTTATGACAACATATAATGATCATATATGGTTCCGAACGGCATTATTTGACCCCGAGATGTATCCCTTAAAATCTTAAGTATTTTCAACACGAGGCCTCTAAACCTCCAAAATTTCTCAAAAAACGTGGATATTAGCCTTAAATTTTGGAATTTTTTTAACTGTTTTCGCCTGTAAATAAAAATTGTCGAAATGTTTACCATGGTCCTTAAGACAATTCGGGAATCCAATTAGGTGGGTAAAACCATCCAATTTGCATTTAAATGGCAAATTTACCGGTTTACAACTTACACCGATTTCATTAACTCAAGCCTACCACGAACATTTATGACAACATATAATAATCATTTATGGTTTAAAACAGTATTATATAACCCTGAGATGTATCCCCTAAAATCTCAAATCTTTTTGACATCGGGCCCCGAAACATAAAAAATTTCTCAAAACGCGTGGATATTAGCCTTCAATTTTTTAATTTTTGTAACTTTTTTTCGCCCGAAAATAAAAATTGCCGAAATGTTTACCATGGTCTTTTATACCCTCCGGTAGTCCAATTGGGTGGGTGGAACCATCCAATTTGTATTTAAACGTCCAATTTACCGGTTTGGAACTTGTACTTATTTCATTAACTCAAGCCTACCACGAACATTTATGAAAACATATAATGGTCATTTATGGTTTCAAACGTCATTATATGAACCCGAGATGTATCGAATAAAATCTCATTTCTTTTTATACTTGGCCCGAAACCTTCTAAATTTCTCAAAAAGCTTGGATATTAGCCTTCAATTTAGGAATTTTTTTTACTTTTTTTCGCCTGAAAATAAAAATTGCCGAAATATTTACCATGGTGCCTAATACCCTCTGGGTGTCCATGCCAACAAAAGAAAGGAGCATCATCCTCAATTTAAGAGTTAAATATTGTATATATTTGTTGTATGGTCAAAGGAGATAATTATCTTACTAAATTATAAACTATAGTTTCCTAGTATATTGCCATATATATTATAGTTAAAGAAAATAATTAGCTTGATAAAAATGATAATTATTTATTTATAGTTAGTTGAACCCGAATATGACCTGACTTGCATTCCGACCTGATTGTAACCTGCAAATTATTGACTTGACATAACCCGACTTGAATCCGAGAATAACCCGACTTGGAAATGACCCAACCTGATTATAACCCGTAAATTATTGACTTGAACCAAACCCGACTTGAACCCGAGAATGACCCGACTTGAAAATGACCCGACCTGATTATAATACGCAAATTATTGACTTGAACCAAACTCGACTCAAACCTGAGAATGACCCGACCTGATTCTAACCCACAAATTATTGACTTAAACCGAACCCGACTCGAACTCGAAAATTACCCTAACCCGTGAAAACCCGAATTATACCCGAACTATTGTTCACCCGACCTAAAGCCGACCCAAACCCAGTAAGAAGTATGACCCGACTCTAGCATGACCCAACCCAAACCCGACCCGCATAGGTTATGGAATTCTCCTGAATTGACCCTACCTGAGTTGACCCGACCCACTCTTACCCGACCCGTTTACCCGAATTGACAGCTCTACCTGTGGCAAGGATTACTCGAATTGTTTTGTTAAGAGTTGCCCAAGTTATTAAGTTAGGGGTTACTCGAGTTACTCGGTTAGGTTACTTGAGGGGTTCGGATAGGGGTTACTCGAGGGGTTCACTAGGTCAAGGGTTACTTGAGGGGTTTCTTGGTCAGGGATTATTACTCGATTTACTCGGTCATGAGTTACTCAGTTAGAGGTTATTTAAGGAATTCGATCATGGGTTACTTAAGGAGTTTGGTTAGGGGTTATTAAGGGTTCAGTTAGGGGTTACTTGAAAGGTTACTTAGTCAGGGGTTACATGGTCAGGAGTTACTCGAGGGGTTCGATCATGGATTACTCGAGGGGTTACCCGGTCGGGAATAACTCGAGTAACCCCTGACCGAATACCTTGAGTTAACCCGACAAATCGAGTAACCCCTGACCAAGTAACTTGATCAACCCTTGCTGCACGGTATAGCGGGCGACATACAAAAAAGTATGTATATATTTTAGGTTTGGTTGATAAGAGATTTAGGCCCCATTCACTTTACCTTAAATTTTGATAAACTGGAATTATTTTTACTTAAAAAATTTCTCCCATAAAACAATCTATTAAAGGATTATTTATTCACAATAGCAATACAATTAAATATGATACGAGTAATTATAACTAATTTTATTTTATACTAATACTCCCTCCGTTTTTATATACTTACTCCATTTTTATTTCCAGCCGTTTTAAATACTTGCTCCACTTTCATATTTGGAAAGTTTTTGCAATATCAATTAATTTCTCTCACCTAGAGGATCCACCATAAATAATACTCGTATTTTATTAATTTCATATTCTCTCTCCTTCAATTCTCTCAACTACTTAGTTTTTTACAATTTTTTATTCTCTTACCCGCCCCACTACCTTCATATTTTATTACTTTCTTCAATTTCTCCTAAAATTCCACGCATGGAGAAATAAAGCAAGTACTCATATCAAAAACAGAGGGAGTACAAAATATTTTTGTTTTTTTACCCTGAAAATTTAAAGAAAAACTGGACCAGTAAAAAGTGATTAGTGATACTGATTTTTAATTGGAAAAATTGCAGAAAATAATACAACCTTTGGCCCGTTCTTTTTTAATAATACAAAAACAGGTTACCAACAGATAATGTCTTGTTTAATATTGACACCCCCAAAGGTTATATTATTAAGAATTAATCAAAAGGTTGTATTATTAAAAAAGAACCGGCCAAAGATTGTATTATTTTCCACAATTTTTCCCTTTAATTTTGTAATCAAAGTATTCCAAAGTTTGCAACTTGCAAGTGGGAATTAACAAACCAAAAAAGTTAAACTTTCTGCATCCCAAAAACACATCCCTCCTTTGAAATTTAAGTTTATAACTGCATAATTCTGGGAACTGGGGTTTTCAAGCTAATTTTAACCTTCTAAAGGTGAGTTTTTTCCTTAATTTATGCTTTGCTTAGAAGAATTTACGCCGTCAATCATGTAATTGCTATCTGAAAGTGCAAAGTTTTGAAATTGCAAGTTATAATTTGTCAATATTAGAAGAACAAGCTAGCAAATTTGCTTTAATTTCTGTTAAAGATTGTGATTTTTGGCTTCATATGCTTCCATTTTTATGCTATGGTCTTTAAATTCTGAATGCCCATAATTTCAGAAAATTTTCTGGGGTTTTTAGTTTTTAGCTGAATTAGTTCTTGGCAGAAGTGGAAAATTAATGATTAGCTTTGTATTTTCATTTAATTATGTTAGGTTTTGGTTCATATGTATGATAAGAAATTTTTGTGCATATTTGCAGTGAACTGGGAACTGATTATTAAGGTTTGTTGATGAATCAATTTCTGAAAATTAATACTTCTGTGGGGAAGTTAATTGGTTCACCATATGAAAACATGTTAAGCTAGTCTTGAACTTAATTGGTGAACTTAGAACTATTATAGAAGCTAATGGAAGAAAAGGATCTCTATAGACAACCATAGGAGATAGATTCTTGGTTCGTGCCCGAGCCTCGTCCTTTTGGGATTAAGGATTTGGTGGTGGTGGTGGTGGTGTTGCTAGTGTTGATTTTTAGAATTTTTAATGGGTATTGAGTATTCTGTTCAATTCCAAAAGCTTTGTCAAATCGAAGCTAGGAGGAGTTTAATTATAGTGGGTATTGTTGCTATTGCCTATGTGATGCTTCAATTCTTTATGCTGCCCTATGGGAATGCACTTAGATTCCTACTTCCGGATAATCAAGTTTTTCTTAGTGCCAAAAGCGGCTTTTCATCTAACCAATCATTGGTTAAAGCGGAAAAGGAGGGTGAGATTAATCCTTCAAGCTTTATAGAAGCGGTTAGAGAAGATGATAAGAGTCATGATGATGATAATGTTAGTGAGGATGAGCTGGATGACAATGTGTCAAAGGAGTTAGATATTGCATCGGAGGCTAATGACCAAGATGAATCTCTAGGACCTGACAAGCCTTTGAAGTTTTTGGATGTCATGGTGGATAATAGCTCCAAGGTGGAGGCGGATAATGCTGGAAAAAGTGAGCTGATAGTGGGACTGGAAGATCGGAATTCATTTGACAGTGGTTTGGAGTTGAATGAGAGTTCTAGTTTTCACGGAAATGAAAATGTTGAGAGTTGGAACCAAGCAAATCATATACAACCTGAAAATGTGAAGAAGCTCCCAGATAGTGATCTTGCTGTTCCAAAGAATGATTCAGAAGTGATGAGTGTTCGTCAGAGGAAGAAGGCGAGACCTGGAATGCCTCCATTATCAGTGACACCCATAGTCAAGATGAATCAGATATTAGCTCGGCACCTTGCCTCTTCTAGCAAAATGGTATGTCCTTTGACTATCCCATTTTCTTGGTAGCCCCAGCCTATTGAGACTATAAGTCTACAACAGTAATGGATTTATTCTTCAAATTCTTGATGTTCTCCAGGAATCGATTTTTAACTTAATATTTATATATGATATAGTAGAAACCTCAATGGTCGACTCTCCATGACTGTGACAAGGAAATTTTTGATGCAAAATCAAAGATTGTCAATCCTGCTGTGTCTGATGTTGACAAGGCACTTCATGCTCCTGTTTTCAGAAATGTTTCTACGTTTATGAGGTAAGGGCTAAAATTGTTCATGTTATTGTGATAAATCTTCTCATATCTAGTGAAAGGTTTGATAGAAGAACTTTTTCCGCGTGTGTTGTTTGCATCAGCTGTTCACTTGACATTCAGAAGTTTGAGGAAAGCTATAGGCTATTACATTATTACGCCAGTCATACTAGGTTTTAATCAATCTGAAACTTGAGGAAATAACTATAAATGTATAACACTAACACATCAATATACTGCTCCTTGAATATTGATGCTGTCATCGAATATAAATTTATGATGCTTTGTTATACTATTAAATTATACTAATAATAATACTTATACCTGTGTATTACGGCCTCCTTATTTTTTTTGCATAGTTTATTCCCTATGTAATCCGGATAGGTATATGCTTGCTCATCAAAAAAACAAATCCATGCATTGCAGGAGCTATGAGTTGATGGAGAAAACATTGAAAGTGTATGTCTATAAGGATGGAAAAAAGCCCATTTTCCATCAACCAACACTTAAGGGACTATATGCTTCGGAGGGGTGGTTCATGAAACTTATGGAGGGAAACAAACACTTCGTTGTTAAAAATCCAAACAAAGCTCACTTATTCTATATGCCTTTTAGCTCAAGAATGCTAGAGTATGCACTGTATGTGCCAAACTCTCACAATCGCACTAATTTAAGGCAGTTTATGAAAGGTTATACTGAAGCAATTGCAGCAAAGTATCCTTTCTGGAATAGAACTGGGGGAACGGATCACTTCATTGTTGCTTGCCATGACTGGGTATGTTCCTTATCATTCTAGCGACTAATTTTATTTCCCTTTTTTCTCTTTGTTGGCATTTTTTTTCCATCTAAATGACTGATTAAAACTTAGAATCAGAAGTAATACTATATCACTGTAAATGATGCGCTAACCCAATTTAACTAAGAGGAGACCTAACCCTAACATAATATGTTTGTTCTGTTTGTTTGTTTGCTATTTTAAGATCATAAGAGGCTTCGGTTTAGCAACTAATGGGTGCAATGAGAAATAAAATTTTACATGCTCTATTTAGTAAGGAGTAGTTCTTTTTAGGATACGTCTAATAGCCAAGGTAGTGCAGAAACCTGAGTACATCATTTACTTGAGTAGGTTCTGAAATCAATGTGACCATAGTTGCTGTTAAAGATGTAGTGATATTAATTGCTGCTAAAGATGTGGTGATGTTTGGATATGACCAGAACTTTTGTACCCATCTTTCTTACTTTGGTAGCTGGGTTGGTCCTTGAGAAAATCAATTTGGATCAAGAATTACATGAAGGCAGGATTGTTGTTGCTAAAAGTTAACCCATAATACTTAGTGAGAACCCAAGATAGGTGCACCGATGAGACTAGGTGATAAAATCTGACAAGTTTGCTAATATGCCCTGTCATACTGTTGAATTATTGTTGGAAAAGCATGAGCAGTTTGTGAAATGTTTTTCTTTGCACATGCTTGACAATTTTATTGTTTTTAGCACTTCATGAATCGACATTTTGTAGTGATCTATCGGTGTTTTGCATATTTTCATGCTGGGTACTTTTAGGCCCCATATGAAACAAGGCACCATATGGAGGAAAGCATCAAAGCCCTTTGCAATGCTGATGTAACTGTAGGATTCAAGATAGGCAGGGATGTGTCATTGCCAGAAACCTTTGTTCGTTATGCAAGAAACCCTCTCAGAGACATTGGTGGAAAACCGCCTTCTAAGAGAAACATCCTGGCTTTTTATGCTGGAAACAGCCATGGGTATTTACGTCCAATCCTGCTAAAACATTGGAAGGGCAAGGACCCTGATATGAAAATATATGGTCTATTGCCCACTAGTGTTTCAAGAAGGATGAACTATATGCAGCACATGAAAAGTAGCAAGTATTGCATATGCCCCAAGGGCCACGAGGTCAATAGCCCGAGAGTTGTGGAAGCCATCTTCTACGAATGTGTGCCTGTAATAATATCTGATAATTTTGTCCCTCCCTTTTTTGAGATCTTGAATTGGGAGGCGTTCTCAGTTATTGTTGCAGAGAAAGACATTCCAAACCTGAAAGACATTTTGGTATCGATACCAGAAGAAAGGTATATTGAAATGCAGCTTGCAGTAAAAAAGGTCCAGCGACATTTCCTCTGGCATTCTAGACCTGTGAAGTATGACCTTTTCCATATGATCCTTCATTCTATATGGTATAGCAGAGTTTTCCAGATCCGAAGGCAATAACAAAAAATCCAAGACCCAACCATTTTATGCCAAGGATTTGCCACGAAAATGATGTAGAGATGCACTGGATGATGGAGCTGCAACCTTGTTCGCTCTATCTCTGAACAGCATTAAAAGGGAGATTATACTTATACCAGGACCTTATACAACATATTACACTAGGTATTTTACTCATGAATTAGCCATCTTGATATATATTGTGTAGCTGTGTTCAATTCTACAAACTCATTTTTTGTAATAATATTATTATTAATAATATTTTTTTTTTTTTTTTTTTTGTCACGTGAAATGGGTAACCTACACACTGAATAGCTCAAGCCATTTCCATTAATTATAAGTGTCGTTTTGTTAATGCTTACTGCTTTCGGACGTCCTTTTATTTCAATTTCCAGTTCAGAAGGATGTTTCCTTTTACCTGAACATATATAGTGATCTGATAGCCATAATACAAGTATATGGATCAAAAACATCGATGTTACCTTTTGAAATTAATAATCCGTAATATAATATTAGTACAAACGAGCTAATATGTTTATGAACTACTCGCAAACAAGCTCTTTGTGATCCGACTCACCCATTCTGCACCGTTACAGGTAAGCCGACCCACACTTACAGGAAGAAAAGTTTGGAGATTAAAGACAATGCAGTCCTTCAATTCCTGCAAATCTCAAACAAAGGTATGTTTACTTATTCCGTCACTCAAACAACTTCTGTTTATTTCATTTCATAGAAGGAAGTAATATTTGTTGCTTATATTTACTATGCACATAACGTGTCTATTTATTGTGTCGATGCAATGTTACTTTACAACAGGCAAAAATTGTTATGTAATAAAAGTTCGTTGTGTACAAGACCTATTGTCGTACTGATTACTCTTAATTTCATCTCAATGTAAAATTGTAAACATCCTTTTAAAGCCGAGCTATACCTAACAAAACTGGTTAATACTCGATTATCTAACCCGTATGATCAATTTTCAATCTAAGCTCAATCAAAAATTATATAATCCACATCTGAAACTATCTCAAAAATTATTTATTTTAATACTTCGTCTGATCTAGCTAATTCTTTACCAAAACATGATTCTACCTGAATTGACCCGCACCCGGTCCCTCAAAGCGAGCCCATATGCAACAATCCATATCTAGTTATCTACAATAGTTGTCGATATGTTGTACGTTAGCTTCAAACGTAAGACTCTAGTAGACTTTACAGCAATTCCCTCCAACTACACTATTTTCATGCAATTCTAGGAACAACACATTCGTCTCCGTTGTGCCACGTATCTTTATTTTTTTAAGCCCACCATTTTTATCACCAATTCTCCAAGAAACATTTTTTTTAATTCCATTAATCCTATCACAATAAAAGAATGGTTTTTGGTTAAATAAATAATAAATATTCAATTATCTATTTTTTTAACGAAATTGCTCCCATTTTGTGGATCTTACATGCTAAGTTGAACTTTTACTTTTTTTTTTTTTTAAGCAAAGCATTGTTTTCTTTTCTTTCTCATATTAAATTTATCTAATATCTTACCTTATTTTCGATGAATTAAATTTAATTAGATCGTGAACACGTCTTTGTGTACAATACCCCATATATACTAGGTTCTTTTAACGTAAAAAGAATTGTAAAGACAATGATATAGACGGGATTCGATCTCAGATTGGTGTCACTTTTAAATCTTAAACCAATTAACCTAGTTCAACCCACAACATTTTTCTCTACAGACTTCGACCCAAAATTTTACACAGGTAGAATATAAGTTTAAATAAGTTCAGGTAAATTATAAACTTTGCCTTTCCTTATGTCTTGAGTTTCAATTGGGTGAGAAAGCACAAAGGGAGGAAAAAGTGAAGGTGATTTGGATCAGAAATTCTAAACTTAAATTTTGGTCCAAGATTTTGCAGACATCACAGTTAAAGCGTGAGAATCAAATTACTTCCAAAAATGGCGGTTTGATTTTAAAATTGATTCATAGAAATTACCCAATTTATATATTTCCTTGAAAGTTGAATTTTTGTTTCTTCTTTATTTGTTCTTTTTACAGTCTGACTGTAACTATAGAATCAGATTTTGCTCCCCAGTTCGAGATTGGAAGTGGAAATTAAATTTAAAGTTTGTATCTTTCTTTTTCAATATTTTAATCGATTTAGAAAACAATATTAATTTATTACCCAATTGATAATTTATAAAATATTTAAATTTATTTAATAATAATTGTGGGTTTTTTTTATGAGGTCATTTTGGTCAGAGTTGGATGATTCTGTAACAGATAACCATTATTTGGTCAGCTCTTACCGCCATTCCCATTTCATGGCTACTCTATCTTTTTCTACTTTCTGTTAGAAATTATTAATTATTATTTTAAAAAATAATACTTTTTTTATATAATTATTTAAGAAATTTGATTTATATAAATATATATACAAGTTGTATTTACTCAGTACAGTGGACATGGATTGTGGTAGATGTAAATCCTCTGATAAATTCTGGGATTTAATTTGATTAGTGGTGGCCAATTTGCTTATGGGTTTTGCAGGTATGTATTTTCTTTGCCTTTTTTGTTATTGGGTTAAGAATTATTTTTAGTGCTTCAATGTTGCAAGCTTCCTAATATTATGGGAGGAAGTTTATAGTAGTGTTCGCTTTATTGTTCATGCGCGTGAGATTGATCAATTTCGGATATAAACATAGATTTTAACTTCCTAATATTAGTGTATGTTTTGGTGAAGTGAATGAGGTGAAGTTTTTTTTTCATGTGGATTTGTCCACTCCTTATATGGGAACTTTTTTTTTTTTTTCCTTACTAGAAATACATGCTTGATCTTGGAGTTAGAATTGGTATTTTAGCATTATAATGGTATTTTGATGTGTTTGTCTTCTTTGTGAGAGATCAAATAGATCAAACTTGTTAAATGTGTGGAAAGATTGAATTTTGTTAATCTAATGGTTAGTGAACTTATATATGCAAAGATAATATGGGATGGGTTGTTTGATTGGATTGGATTGGATTGGATGTATATCTTGGTTTTAAGAACTCGGCTATTTGCTTAATAATCTAAGAAATTGCTATAATGTCTATAACTTTGAGATCTGTTTGTTGAGGTTATTTGTATATGTCTATGCCTTTACTTTTATGAGAAGCTTGATTATACCATTCTAGCTAGCTCTGCTTGGCCTATTGCCATCTTCGAAGAAGATGTGAGGATTGGTAGTTAGTGACAATCTTAGTGGGATTACTTGTTATCTCCATGACTTAATGGAGAAGTTTGGTGAAAACTTAAAGTATGTGTCATGTGTGTGTGAACGCGTGTGGAGGAGAGGGGGGGGGGGGGGCAATTTTTGAATCAATCTCGAAAATTACATAACTATCTCTTTCCCCGAGTAACTTGAGCAATCTTTTGTAACAGCCTGTTTGCAGGAGATCAATGGATGACATATTTACCAGGATCTTGGATTTGACATCTTACCTAAGCACTCCACTTCTTCATTTACTTGGTAAGTTCTTTGTTACTTCGTACTTTCGTATATATGTGTGAATAATTTGATGCTAATTATATGGTGTTGCAATCTTAGTAAGGATTCCAGATTACTTTCTCCTCTGAGCCTTAGATTCATGAAATTAAAATGTTTGTAAGTCATCATTTGTGTGTTTTTCTAATTACATGTCTTTATTTTTCATTAGAGGATTTGTACTCCGGAATCTTTAATGGACATTTGGAAAGCCTTGTGGCTCTTTGCTCAGTAGAGTATTCAAGCTCTGCAAGTTTTCATCATGAGCGAAGATCTGCTTTTGGAGAATGCTCATCATCCTCCAAACGTAATGTTGCCACATCTAGAGGAATTCAGAGAAGAGCTCTAAATGTCAAAGAGTCTTTGTGTGTAAATACAAGTACAGAAACGGAAACAGGACAGACTCATGGAGGAGTGCCCCTTATTTTTGGAGGGTGATGTTACTTTTTCTCCAGTTCCTATTTTCTTATTCTTATTCACTTAAATTACAATTTTGATTAAAAAAAAAAATCATTACTGCTATATTACATGTATTCTTACCTGAAGTTTTTTCATAACTGTAGGTTGACTCTCCCATTATATGGTTTGAGGGTTTTTCAGAGATTAGCATTGGCTTCTTTGAGATATTTTCTAGGGTATTGCAGATTTACGATAGATCATGTTAAACGGTAAGCATAATTAATGAAGCCTCTGATATCATTGCCTTTTAGTTCTAGATGTAGTAGCACCAAAATGGCGTTCTTTTGGATTTCTATCTAATCTTTTTTTCTTTGCCTTGTTATTATTGCAGCACCATATCCCGAGTGCATAAGGGTGTGCGTGGATCAGCTGATGATATAGGTTGGTTGCAGCGCACTCCTGGGATGCCTCCCGTTACAGATGGAACTTCTAGATTCTTGGAAGTGCTTCAGGATGTCAGGTACATACTGATGCGTATATGATCAAATTGTTTATTGTTTGATTTTCTGAGTTACCATTGTAACTCATAATTTTTATTTTTGCAGTATTATGATGTTCATTACTTAGCATGGTTTACAATCTTTTTAGAGTATATTGGATGTGTTCTCCTGATGTGCTAACATCTTGCTCATACATATTAACAGATTAAATTCAAACTTCATCGTGAATATCATGTAGTTAGATTGTATCAGTGTAATCTGTAATACGAATAACAGCTGCATCAGATTCTTGTTTCCTGTGAAATAATGATAAGTGCTAAGAAGCATGCTCCATCGTGAATGAATTAAATTAAATCATGGCTATATTAAATGTGGTGATGTTAGACAAGCTACAGAACAATTTGGTTCACTTTTCACTTTTGCCTATTGGATTCCCCTGCAGTTAAGTTGCAAAAACCAGGTTTCTTGTTTGTTTCTGTTTTTTTTTCAAGCTCTAATAGGAGATCATTTCATTATTTCATTCAACTTATGTTTTCTCAGGAACGGGAATCATATGCTGCCTGATTCATTTATATACCTTCTTATACCTGGTAAATTCCTAGGATGATTTTCTTAGTTGTGTTTATTAAAAGACTGACATTAACACATTCAGCATGATTCCTTATATTCTATTATTTCTCGTGTTAATTTATTAGGCCTCTTTAGTAATCATGGCCCCTTGTACTTTGTTGCCACCAAGAGATTCTTTTCTAAGATGGGCCTCGCTTGCCACATTGCCAAGATTCATAGCGAGGTGAAGAGAATTATCTTATCTTTAATTCCTGTCAAAAATTGATTTTTTTTGTACAAATAAGAAGTCTTCAACAATAATTTCATCTCCAAAATTTCAACATCTTTTTATGTTACCTTTGTTCGTATGTCTTTGCCTTTTCTTTTCACTCCTCATTTGTATTTGGCTCCTGACATGTTTGTTGCTTCCTAAGTGAAGGCCTCAGTGGAGCACAATGCATTGGTATTGAAACACTATATCGAGGAGCTTTACTGGGGATCAGGAAAGCGTGTGATGCTTCTTGGTCACAGCAAAGGCGGAGTTGATGCAGCAGCTGCCTTGTCAAAATATTGGAAGGATTTGCGAGGCAAGGTTGCAGGGTTGGCCCTTGTGCAGAGTCCATATGGTGGGACTCCCATTGCATCTGATGCTCTTCGTGAAGGCCAGGTTGCTGACAAGAAAGCTAGGAGAGTTATAGAGCTTCTCATTAGCAGATTGATTAAGGTATAGTTTACTTTTAAGATATCTTCTTTTTAATATTAAACATGTACGATAGCCCAAATTCTTCACATTGGTTGAGCTCATCAAAAAAGCTATTTCAGAAGGTTGTATTAACTTTCTGACGTACATAACTGATATTGGTATTAATAGACCTGTTTATTTTCCCCTGTTTTGATTGTCTGTGATTGTAGTGTGTTAATCTGTTTCATGTTAATGCTCTAATAGCTGTGCTAAAAGATAAATTCTTTTCGTCTAGAATCAGTTGTCACATTGTTTCAATCCTGTCATTGTCAGAGAGATTGACAAAATTAGACATATATATCTTTTGTCGTGTTATTTATGTCATCTTCCCATCACTTAATGTAAGTCAGGCTTATAAGGTATCTTATCATAAACCATTACTAACGTAGGAAGGTGGTAACTTCTTCCAGACATCCTGTAATATTATGTGTCCAATACGCAACAGCTTCTTTGTACGAGAAATCTGGAACTGGGTTCTGCTGTTATTCTGTTTCCTTTTCCAGAATTTTTCCCAGCTGAACAAACCTTGCTGTGAATGATCTGCTTTCCAAACTATACAGAATTACATATTATTACCTTTCAATGTCAGCTGACCTTAAAATACTGCAACAACTCGAGGTTAACTAGCTCAAAGCTCGCTACAAATGATGAAATCTTAGATGATAAAATCCTAGAAATTCATGTAAAGATTCAACATAATAAACATGATTGTCAGAAAAGATTTTCTCTGTTTAGGCTATTTGCAAATATTTACTACATGCTCATTGTTTCGTGTTTGAATCCATCGCTTATGATATCTTGAAAATAATTCTACTGCAACCTGTTTTTCTGTTTCTAGGGCGACTTTCAGGCTCTGGAAGACCTCACGTATGAGAAAAGGAAGGAGTTCATCCTAAGCCACAAACTTCCTGAAGAAATCCCACTCATTTCCTTCCATTCCGAAGCAAGTATTGCCCCAAGTGTTCTTGCCACATTGACTCAAATAGCCCACGCCGAGCTCCCATGGTTTCCTCTCCCAACATTCTGTGGTGTGCCATCTGATGACTATGTCCAACCATCACGGAAAGTACCTGTAATGATTCCCGTATCAGCAACCATGGCCGTGACTGCTCTCCACCTTAAACTAAGGTATGGGGAAAAGAGTGATGGACTTGTTACATGCCGTGATGCAGAAGTCCCCGGCTCTGTTGTGATTAGGCCCGATAAGAAGCTTGATCATGCTTGGATTGTTTACTCTTCATGGAAAAAGAATCCTAGTGAGCCTGATTGCTGTGAAATGTGTGAAGCTATCTTGACCTTGCTTGTAGAACTTGGTGAGCAGAAAAAGGCAGACAAGAAAGTTGATTAATGTAAACGGAAACTCATATGACTATACGAGTACACGAGTATAGATCAGTTTGATTTCTCTTATATGTTGCTAACAATGCTCGTATAGCCTAATAGAATGAATGAATGAAAAGTACCCAAAAAAAAAGGGTGTTTGTTAATTACTTTCATTTGTTTTAGTGTTCACCTCTTTGATTTGTTGTTTTGTATGGATTATAGCTCGAAACTCTTGGATCATTACACCTTGAAACACTATATTAGAACAAGAATTGAACAAAAATTACTGAATTGTGTTTCTATATAGTATGTTATTTACTACTAGTATTTGTTTTAAGGAGGTTAGGTTCATTTCATTTTGCAAATCATGTTTAAGGTTCTAGGAGATTTGAGTGGCTCATCATGTCTTGGAAAATCTTCTTGCTATGAGTTTTTTACCTGAGGGATTTGAGGGAAAAGGAGTTCATTTTTTGATTCACTTCTATATCCTATATATTCGGCCTAAAAGAATTTAATTTTGATAAGATGGGATATTGTAGTTGTTCAGAGTTTGTTTATATATAGGTCCGTTTTCGCAAAGTCTTGTAATTTTAGCGGATTCTGATTTATAATAATGTCTAACTAACATTTCCTCAAGTTATAAGATGATGGAATATGAAGACATGTTATGATGTTATTTTATATGGATGGTTTAGAATGGCTACAAATCCGAGTATTTGTAAATCTATCATCGGCTTCCATAAACAACATTCAAAAGTAATATTGCGATTCTAGCTACATAAAGTTGAAAAATCTAGAACTTTATAACGTTTGTTCATAAAAGAAATAAAAAGGCTATTGCATTTTAAGTTTTTAACAAGGCTATTGCGTGGTCCTAAACTTTTTTTTTTGGTGTTAGAGAGCCCCAAGGGCGGGGTGAGAATCGATCCCAGGATCTCCTAAAATCGGGAGGGAAGCTCTAATAACCACTTGAGCTATCCCTCACTCTCTCCTAAATTATTGCTTGACCCACTCGTATAAAATTTTTATTAGTTTTTTTTTTTTTTTTTTTTTTTTTTTTTTTTTTTTTTTTTTTGCATAAGAGGGAAAAACCTGAACAAAAGAAAACAACAATTTTTATTAGTTTATTGTGTATAATATATGGTGGTTTCTTTATGTATATTTCTTAGGCCTCAAGATTTGAAGATTTCACATGTAATATATGGTAAATTGGTAAGTATGAATGTACAATGAATTGGTAAGAAATGATGATGATGATGGGGCAGGTAAAGAATACAAATAACACTACAAATAATACACAAAAATATTAGGCCTCAAGATTTCACATATAATCATCAATAACTATATACTAAAAGACACACCAGCAATGACACGTGTCATCTCTTGGTGTTTCCTTAGTTTTTTTTTTTTTTAAAAAAAAATAAATTATATTTAAGTAACAAATCTTTACATATATATTATAATAATAATTACTTATAGAGTATAATAGAAGATTTGATGTATGATGTATCCTTCCAAAAAAAAGTACTAACAGTTATAACTTAAGCAAAAAAATAAATAAAAAAATAAAAAAAATAAAAACTTAACATAATTTGTGAAATATGAAGGTTCTTTTTTGGGAAAATATATAATATTAACATAATTTGTGAAATATAAAGCTTTTTGTATTTTGGGAAGGTATATATTAATTATGTACTACGTTTATTAGAAGATCATTTTTTTTGTTTGAGGAAACAACAAGATCATATATTTTTTTTCCCCTTAAAAAAATCATATTTTTTTTCTTGAATTTATTTATTTTAAAAATTATGTAATAGAAGCTACAAATTTTTACAATGAAATGCAAATATAAAATCAACAAATGATATTTTTGTTATTTCCTTGGATAATTTATGATCTAAATTTTAATCAATTTATAATCTATAATTACCTATGGACATTTCAATAATACTGCCTAGTTCGACACATGTTGATTATTCTTAGTGTAATTTGAATAATAGAAATTACCGTGCATGGCACGGGACCTAACCTAGTATATGGTAAATTGGTAAGTCAGTATGATGAATTGGTAAGGATGATGATGTAGCGGGTAAAGAATACAAATAATACCCAAAAATATTAGGCCACAGGATTTCACATATAAAATTTGGTAAATTGCATGCTGGTAAATAATACAAAGTAAGTATGATGAATTGGTAAGTAAGGACGGTGATGTGGCAGGTAAAGAATGTAAATAATACCCAAAAATAAAACATAGTCTATATTAATTTGCAAATTTGTAATTGCTAACATATTTAGAAGATTATGTTAAAATAAAAAAGGGCAAAAATTGATTCTCCAAATTTGCAACATGCATGGTACGATCAGTGGCGAAGTCAGAATTTCTAAGTGAGGGGGGCCAAGATTATACGTATTACATTTACTTAAAATAAAAATAAAAAAAATAAAATAAATAAAAAACACACAAATTTTGTTAGCTACAAGATTTGATCATTTGTCAACTTGCATACTATCACATGGAAAAAACCAACTCCTCTACACTTAAATTAATGACAATGAAGAGCAAATTTAATTAATATTTTGAGCCAGGGGGAGGCCAAGGCCCCCGCCAGCACCCCCCCTTGGCTCTGCCCCTTGGTATGATATTCATTTTTTCCTAATGTGTGTATAGCATGCACGTACGTTAACATCAGGAACATATATTTGCCATAACTCTAATAAATTAATAATCATATGAATATATGATTATTGTAATAGGTAAGTAATAAGATTAGGGTTAAAGGTGCAAAATTTTGCTACTCTATATATATACATGCAAGTTAAGGTTAAAGTCTATTAAGTTTTAACACATCTACTATTTTTTTGTAATAAATTTATTGAGAGTAGTTATATATTTTAGTGCTTTAATTATAAGATTGAGGATGGATTCTGATAAGAAAGTAGTGAAGCCTGTTGCATATAGAGTAAGATATGCAGAGTGTATGAAGTATCATCCAGCTAACAATGGAGGGCTTGTGTTAGATGGATGTCAAGAGTTTATGTCGAGTGGCGCCGGGTGCACCACTTGCTCCGCTTGTGGCTGCGACCAGAGATTTCATCGTCAAGAATATTATACCGATGGTTCTTAGTGATCATAATCAAGCTCAATCGAGTTTAAATTAATTAATTAATTAATTAATTAGAAAAGTACGACTATTAATTAGTATGTTATTGTTTGCATGGCTTAGAAGGGATTTGGTTTATTGAATAAAGGTTGTGTTAGGACTTGGGATTATTATGAATGCTTGTACTGAATAAATGATTCCATAATTTTGTATTATAAATTTCAATATGAAAAAAAGAGTTCCTTTAATTTATTTTAATTATTGCGTCAAAAAAAATATAATTAGAGGTGTAAGTAAAGTATTAATTAGTATATTTTTTGCATGGCTAAGAAAGGAATTGGTTTCTTGATTAAAGGCTGTGTTAGGATTATCAATGCTTGTGGTAAATACTTGATTCCGTAATTTTCTATTATAAATTTCAGTAATTAAAGAATTCCTATGAAACTTTTTGGTGCAATATTTTAACATATGCAAGTATGTTCAAGTGTTCAACATAAATTGCACTAGTGTAGTTTGATCTACGAGGCTTGATCAATTTACTTCATTTTCGAAAAATAGTGTTGATCTATTGTTTATTTTATGAAGGGATCTAATGGGACTTTATTTTATACGGATCGGAGTATATATGTATAGAATGTTGGATTAAAGGTTCAAGCAAGTTGTGCTCAATAGTAAGGACGACATAAAATTATGAAAATATATCAATAGGTTGTCTAGAATTCAATATTCGATATTTCCATTTCCTTATACGTCATCTCATATTATCTACATATATCATACGGAGTACAATTTATCTTTTTACTAAACCTAGCTAATTATATAGTAACCTATAGTAATTTTGGACGGAAAAACCTATACTCAATATTCAATGCGTACATAGTCTACACACCATGTATTAAAATAAAGAGCAAATGAGTAAAAAAGAAAACAAAATACAAAAGTCTAAGCTATGTAAGTAAGGATGATGATGTGGCAGATTAGGAATACGAATAATTCCCCAAAAAAAACAATATTATTAATTTGGAAGTTTGTGATTGCTAACATATTTAGAAGATTATTTTGATTCTCCTAATTAATTTGCAATATGATATGATATTTATTTTTTCCTAATGTGTGTATAGCATACACGTTAACTTAGGAAACATATATTTGCCATAACTCTAATAATCTTATTTCCTTAATTAATTTACAAGTTATCCTTTAATTTCATATGGAGTAATAGATAAGTAATAAGATGCAAAATTTGGCTAATATATATATAAAGCAAGTTAAGGTTAAAGTATATTACATCTACTATCTCTTGTAATAATTTTGAGGGTATTAATTTTGTTGCTTTAGAGTTTAGATTGAGAATGAAGCCTATTAAGAAAGTAGTCCTAAAGACTAACACAGTTCCATATAGATTAAGGACTTTAAGGTATTTAGAGTGCCAGAAGAATCATCCGGCTAAGAATGGAGGGTTTGTGTTAGATGGATGTCAAGAGTTTATGGCTAGTGGCGCCGAGGGCACGGATGGTGCACTCGTTTGCTCGGTTTGTGGCTGCAACCGGAGCTTTCATCGTCAAGAATTTTATACCGATGGTTCTTCTTCATCATGATCAAGCTCAATCGAGTTTTAGTTAATTAATTAATTAATTATAATTATTTAATTAGAGGTTTACAAGTATCAACTAGTATGTGGTTTGCATTGCATGGTTAAGAAGGGATTTGGTTTCTTGATTAAAGGATGTGTCAGGATTATGAATGCTTGTACTAATTAATTGATTCCGTAATTTTCTATTATAAATTTCATGAATAAAAGAATTCGTATTAAATTAAACGCATTAAAACCTACTCTATTAAATTACTCTATATAACATACAAAGTATATCCAACATAAAATGTACCCCGCGTGTTATTTATTTATTTTCGAAAAATAGTGGTTTGAATCCTAAACACCTTGTCTACAATGATATTAGAAATGATAGTCTGCTTTTTGATTCATGTACATTTGCTCATATGTGTATATCTTGTAATGTCCTTTTCCCCAAAGCAGATTTGGCGAACATGGATTCTCTTTAATTGACTAATGATACAGCTACTATTATTTCTTTCCCAAAAAAAAAAAAAAAAAAATTAAAAAAAAAAAATTAAATTAAATTAAAAATAGTGTCAATTACTAGAATTGTTGATTATACGGACTCTAAT